GAGAGAGAGAGAGAGAGAGAGGAGAATGGAAAAGAAAAGCAAAAGGTGAGACATTACAGTCTTGAAGAGGTGTTGATAGATGAGTGGTTAAAACACGATAAATAAATTCCTAAGGATTTCCTTTAGAAGCAGTCACCCCTGGTTGATTTGCTTGTAGAGTTGGAAGTTGTGCTTTGTGGCAATACTCAGCATTTATTTAAGACTTCTGTTATTCGCATTTTATGGAAATAGTGCATTTTGCAAAAAGCTCTCAGTACAATCAGAAAGTCAAGTAAAGTACCTCACAAATAATTCACTTTTTATGAAGGTAGTTTATCTTGCAATATGGTTTTCACTTTGATTGAGATGTGTTGTGTAAACCAATACTTGGCATTTATCTGAAGGCCTCTCTTATTCATATTTGCTGTCTGGAGATGCAGACTTGTGTGTTCGCCTCATTTGTTCAGTTATGTGGCGATTCTGAATCCGACTAATGGCTGTGTGTATCAGGGCGAGAGGTCTTCATGACTGAAGAAGCTTTTAGCACATTTAGGAGTCCATGCATCAGTTTGATGAACTGCTGGCCATTTGCAAGGGAATCTACTGTCATTAGAAACACAGCCAAGATCAAAAGGCTTCGGCACACATCCTTGCTGTATAAATATTGCATGGATGAAAAGAAATGCGGTTCCTAGCATTGATATTACAGAGTGAAATACTGCATTAATGTAGAAATAGTGGTCTCTTGGGGTTTTAAGTCCCTTTGTATGGCAGTTGGGAAGGAAATTCCCCTAGAGTAACTTGTATCATGGGTAGGAAATTGAGTTATGCTTTATAGTAATAATGCTTTGGGAATATTAAGATTCAACCCCACTTTTTTGTCTCATGGTTCATTAATTTGCACAGACTTGATGGCAACAGATCTGGAGTTGTTGATCTTACAGAATTTGACATTTCTAACTGCTCCCTTTCAAATCCACATAGGAACGATTGCCTTACACCAGCAAACTGAGCATTTTGAATTATTATATATCTTTGTGGCTCTGTAGTTCCTCTCTTTGTAATTTGTTTGGCAACTTTTTATGGATGAGTAAATGGTAGTACTTAATGTTTGCCTCTGCTTATTTTTCTGTCTACATGCATTGACTGAAATTTTTCTAACTTGCATCTTTTCGTAAGCTTTGGTAATTGTTACAGGACATAGTGTATATTTAAATAGAATCAAATGTTTGAATTCCATTCTTGTTAACCTTATGTAGGGTGAACTTAAGATATAGAATTATATCCTTTCCAAAGATAAAAATGCCTAGCACCACTTGTGTTACAGTATCACTTGTATTTGTGTGCGCTCATCACACACCTGATTAATCTCCAATAGCAACACATTTAAAGAAAGCAGACTCCATTCAGTGAAGAGGCTAGGGGGAAGAAACAGATAGTGCTTGTTTGTCTGCTTGAGTGAAGAAACAAAATAATTTTTTTCATAGACCAGGTGGCCAGGGGTGGGTCTAATTGGTAATTTTTTACTTCTGTGTTCGCGTGATGTTATTGATGGTTGAAATGTGAACTATAGGTTTAATGATGTTTTGAAAAAAGGGGATACTGTTTGGTGTATTCTAACACAATATAGATCAATCGAGGAGTGTCTTTTATGAAAGGACTAAAAATATGACAAGATTCTGAAAAATATTACTTACAGAAAGACCATAAGGATGATTTCTTCCTGAATTTTAAGTAATTGCTTATACAGAGTTGATAATCAGTTGTTTGGGAGTCTAAGTTTAAGATTGATAAAAGTCATTCTTTCTGTTTGTGTTTAAAATCATTGCATGTTTTTACTACTTACTCCATGAGATAAAAGTTTTAATAGAACATTATTTTGTTTAATTTTTATTTAACTAATAGAGCTTGGAATGAAGTTATTATTGCATGAAGCTTCATTTTTAATTTGTCTGAATTTTGAATAAATCATGATAATGCATTCTTATTTTATTTTATGAATAGTAATTTGTTTTATTTGGTAGTAATGGAGGGGTTTATTATTTTTCTTTCTTTAGGGACATGTCATGAGGCATGGAGCACCTACCGCTGTGAATGCCCTCCTAAATATGGCGGCAAGGATTGTTCTATAGGTAATTAGTTGCACAGCATGCTGTGAAACTCATATTTGTGGTAAAAGTAATTTTTGACAAGTTTGGACAACCTTTTTTTTTGCCTTTTGAGCATGTCCCATCTCAGCCAACCATCAGTCTTATCTTCTATATGTTACCTTGTGTTTTGGAGAGTGGGACAACAGAGGGATTAGATTTGCTGCCTGTGCTGTGAGCTACTCTTACAGGAGATGGGTAGACTCAAGGTGACTGGAAATACGATTGTAGTCACTTGTAAGATGATGCTCTCACTGATTTTATCAGGGTATCACTACCAATCCAATGAATTACATTATATTGAGGATGGTTGAGTTGTTCTTTAGAATGTGTATTTTTAAAGGTATCAAGTTGGGAATGCTTTTATATATTTACCATTGCTTTTGTTTGCTGTAGAAGATGCACTTGATTTAGCTTGGCAGAATGTGTTGTGATATAGTAATGGACACTAAAAATACTTGACAGACAACTTTTTTACACATATCTTCACAGTGATGATGAATATTCCTATATCCACAAAGTATCTTGTTATCCAAAAACACTGCTTAAATTAGCTTGGTTTGGATGAGGATATGTGAAATAAACAGTCTTTATAATTGGAGGTCTGCATATAGCACATGTTATGATACACATACTAATTTAAAGACATGTCTTTCAGTGATTGAGGAATCCAGACGCCTGTCAGGAAATGGTTACCTTGCCTACAACCCCAGCCCTGGCCAGCGCGTGGCTCTTCCCTGGTATCTGGGCGTGTCCTTCAGAACGCGACAGGAGACGGGGCTGTTGATGAGTGTAGAGCTGGGTTCCAGTGTGGTCCTCTTGGAGGTAGGCTGGAGCCAAGACCCCATTCCCATACCTAGATCGATCTAGCAGGATCGACCCATCTCTGAGAGGTTTCTGGCTTAATTGCTTTCAGTTGTAGTGACTTGGATGTCTGGCACGCCTACTGAAGCTGCTAAACGATAGTTAATTACCCCCTAACAGCTTCAGTAGGCTAGGTGGATCTAGGTATGGGAACATGGTCCAAACTGAGAAGTAGAGATGTGTGGGATATTCTTATAGTTTACAGATTTCAAATGCCTCATTTGTTTCAGTATTTCTTTTTTTTTCTTCTTTTCAAGTTTTAGATCTTTCAGTTTTAGTTTCTTTCAAAAACATGCTCCCAGAAATTACGAATCGTCTTCTCCAGATATTTAATGCCAAGTTTCCCATACATTAAATTGGTAAAATCAAGGCCAACTTTCAGCTGTGAGCATTTTAGTCAATAAGTTATGCAATTGTTAACTCTAAATCCGGGAATTAGATGTTCATGTTTTCTTTATAATTTTATACAACAAAAACCCCAGTTTTCAATTAAATGTCAATTAAAAGATATGCCTTAATTCCTTTATGATATGCCATTTAATCATGACAATCATTATTGGTGTTAATTTACCTAATTTCATTTGCAGTTTTTAAATTGAATCTTCTTCTTGATATTTCATTAGTTAATATGGCACATGCTTGTTTGATGGTTGCCTATCAAAATCTTATTTATTGTGGAATCAATGTTCATTGACTTTGTACTCTAATTTAGCTGATGAGTTCGATGAGTCAATTGCAGTTCACTAATGCCATTATACCAGTAATAATGTTGTCTAATAGAATTATTTGGGCTCCAAAAGTGATTAGCTAGGTTGCCAAAGTGATAATGTAGTGTTAGGAACCTTGTGATTTGTCTGTGTCTGGAAGGCACAAGTGCACTGTATAAAGGGGTTCAGAGAGGGGATCAAGTTTAAGCAATGGTCCTTGGCAATTTAATTGCCTATATAATTAACTTCAGGATGAAGACAGGGGGTGTTGACTAACCAAGATATACCAACATGTTGCATATTATTGTACCACCAGCGTAGGCGCTGGCCGTACACATGGTTTTAGTCCCGACCCGTATGTTCCGCCGGCTCCTGCGGCTCCGCCGCCAAGTCACCATTACCGCTTCTCCTCCTAGACGGTAATGGCCTCCATACCCATCTCTTGGATTTAGGTCACCTATAATCTCAACTCGTTCCACGTAAAATTTGGGCTTTGTCGGTATTGGGGTCTAGGTGTGGCACTCATTGCAATGCACCCTTGTCCAAAAATGGCAAAATTAAATGCTAATTATCTCCCCTACGGAAGGAATTATGGGAAAAATTTCTACAGACAGCTTTCCAAAAGTCATATGTGTAGATTTCAAATATGCCCTTGGATTTGACCTTTGACCTTTATTTCAAGGTCAAACGGGCCAAAATTTTCAAAAAAACAAAATTTT